ATCTGGGATTTATTTATCTTCTATAATTGAAACTTTGTAGCCTTGAGCGGAGCCCACAGCCGGCCAGGGCAGGTGGGAAGCTTGGCTTCCTCCATCGCTGGGGGCAACCCAAGCCTCCTTCTTGCTCCAGCTCCGTGGCCGCCGCCTCTTGGTTGGGTTAATTTGCATACTCGCTCCTGATTGGCTGGTGGCCGTGGCTTGTGGGTGTAGCGGAGTGGCAGAGTGATGGTTAATTTGCATGTTTCTCTTTTATTAGTGTAGATGCATTTAAAAATGCCTTTATTGAAGGCAATTTTTTCTTAACTATCAAGTCTATTCAATTTTTAAATACCTTTCACTTAAAGCAGCGGTTCTCAACCTGTGGGTCGCGACCCCTTTGGCGGTCGAATGACCCTTTCACAGGGGTCGCCTAAGACCATCCTGCATATCAGATATTTACATTACGATTCATAACAGTAGCAAAATTACAGTTATGAAGTAGCAACGAAAATAATTTTATGGTTGGGTGTCACAACATGAGGAACTGTATTTAAAGGGCCAGAAGGTGGAGAACCACTGACTTAAAGGAAGCATAAATGACTTACTAATGTCATGTATGCATCATAATTTTGGTAATTTTTGTGGTATTTTTAAATTACCTTAACAATGGATGACAACTCCTATGAATCAAGAGCTTTCCTCTTATATACACAGGGGAAAATCATACAAATTTCTATAGGTATGCCAAAGGACAATATGGAGCTTCCTCTTAGTAAATAAATAAACATGACAGGAAGTGGAAAGGAAAATTAAGATACTATTCAATCCTCTGTGGCATCATAGATTTGGGCAGAAGGATTCACTATAGATCAGGCAATAGGCAATATTAAAAAGCATTATTGAACTCAAGATAGATTTCATCTGTGTTCCTTCAAATTATGATAAGAAACTTCAGGAAACATGGGAAAAGGGAGGGAAATCTAGGGACCCAGCTCTGACAATCCAAAGCCCTTTCCCATGGCCAAGATCCTCATTTTAGGGGTACGAACAAGTCCTATAATTTGATGTAGCAAGTGCTGAAGTTTCTTCAACAATCAAGTTAAGTTTTAAATAGCATTTTTGTAGTTTG